ATTACTGGCTCAAACTAAATCAGCAGGCATTAGGGCAGCTCACTGCAGTGTTTTTTAAAGGGGGAAATGTAGCTTTGCCTGGCCTTGACAAGAGCTATTCATCTTTCTAATTCAATGTATGTGTCACAACCAGATGACTCCAGGATTTCAGATATTGGACCACCTCTCTAATTCACATGCTTTTTTTTCTGCTGAAACCTCTTGCTATCTTCAGTGCATTTCTATCTGTGTTAGGATGCTGGGTGTTTATCAGGACAGGGTAGTCCAAGCTACCCTGCCAGGTGGATTTTGCTGTTCTCTCTCTGAGTGGCTCCGGAGTGCTTGCTACACTGGAGCTTTATGAAGTTTATGGTTTAAAGATGCTTCAACAGTTTTTCAGGAGCATTCTTCTGGTCTCAGTCCTGCCACACAGCCAGAGGCTGCCTCTGCTGGTTCCCAGCCCTGGTGATCATTTCAGGATGATGATTTACCAAGTAGAATAGGCCTAACTAGAGTAATCCTTTTAATGCCTAAGAATGAACCTTAATCCAGCAAAGCTGAGCTTTCCATTTCTGTGGGGAAAATCCAGATCCATTAGCTTCCAGGAGTAAGGGTTGGCAAGAAGTGTTCCAGTGGGATTATTTCCCTCTCTTTGGCATATTTTGGTTTTGTAGGCAAGTGAGGGGAGACCAGAAGGGCATTCCCAAGTGTGAGGGGGAGCAGTTGGGTGTCACCTGGTGAAGAGAAAGGAAGGATGCCTGGGCAGCACCTGCACCTTTCACCTGGGGCTCTAGGATGTGGACTTGGTAAAAATTATGGACATGGAGAGCAAAAGCAGCACCTCTCTGTTTAGGTCTTGGACCTCATTACAGCAAAGCACCTGCTATAGGGGGGGTTAGGATACTTTTGTTTAGCAGATGAAGGAAGCTGGCTGTTGAAGGTGTTGAGGAGTTTCCTCTAGAATGGTTTTTCCTGGTGTCAAGACAAGTCTTTTGAGATACATTTCTGCGAGAAAAATCTTAGAGCTGAAAAACTCCCCCTACCTTCAGTAGTCGCCAGGTGAAATGCCATTTTGGGGTGAATGTCAGAAATTCCAGGAAAGTGTGCTGTGACAAATGCACAAATGTCCCCCATCTTTCTAGTCGTCTTGGCCTAAGCCAGCGGCTGCTTTTGTACATGTTCGTGCCCAAAAATGCACATTTGCAAGCTTTCTGGAATTGTCCACAAAGCCTTTCCCTGGTGATCCTTTCACCCTTTCATTTCTCTCTCCCTAGAATGGCAATGTGACCTGGAGTGACGAAGGTGATGGATGCCGAGGAAGAGAAATTTCACGAGACTTTGCCAAGGTCAGTCTGATCATGGGGATTTTGGGGAAGGGGTAACTTTGGGGATTTCTTCCCCTGATCTGTGACAGAAGGTGACTACTGAGCCCTCACTATTCCTCTGTAGTGATTTTGTAAGAAAACTGCGTTGTCCTGCAGCCCTCTGCCTACAAACCGGTTATTTTGGGCTATTTTGTTGCCTTTGGTCACCGGAATATGGTTTGAACTAGACTTAATAACCAGACTTTTGACATTTAAAATCTTAGCCAATACTTTCTCCAGCTGGGAGAAGAGTATTTAATTTCTTGAACCTGATTAGCACTGTGGTTGTGGATTTGAATGTGGCAGCTACGTGTCACATCAGAGGAATTCATTTTAAGCTAAGCTGGCCCTTTCTGAAAGGGTGCAGCTAATTGCTGTGCAAATACACTGGTGCATTTTCTTCCCAGAGCTCAGTGTGTGCGAAAGTTTCACAGGAAACAAACCCAAAAAGCCTCTCTTCTTTTGGACTAGATGAATACCAAGTAGCTTAGCAGCACCTATGGAGAGGATGAAATACATATTTCCCAGTGAATCTTTCCCATTGAGCTGCTTCACAAGAGTAGCTACAACCAGCAAAAATTTCTGGAGTTATGCAGGATTCTTCCTCAGTGCAAATGAATGAAGGAATTAAATTCTGCTTCATGTACAGCATTGTCTTCTGTCTTTTTCTATATCCTCCTGTATCTCAGTGAGAGACTGACTTCAGCCCTTTCAACCTGTCACTTTGTGGCCTCACAGGTTTCTTGATAGGTGAAAATTAGATTTTTCAGTTCAAGAGGTGGTTGTAAGATAACACTCATGCCTGTCCCTTCTGAAAAATCAGCGGATAATGCTAGCATACAGTGCCTCTCCTTTGGAATAAGCTGCCTATGGAACTTTGTGTTAAATGCTTGCATTTTTAAGCCTTTTGGTAAAATGATTTCTGCAGCAAACTGGTTCCAGGCTGGTTTCTGATATTTTTTTTCAAGGCTTTTTGGCTTATTTTAGAGGAGCCTTTCCTGCCAGGCATTAGTAGTTACAGGAAAGCTCTATCCTTTCATCTCCTCCTTCAAGGGACTTGGAGTTTGTCACATACGTGACAATCACTGAAGGAGGGAATCATGAAGCTAGGAGAAGCTGCAGTGAAGTTTACATCCCTGGTGTCTCAAAGGTACAGACCACTGATCCACCCTGGACCACTGTCACCTTCCTTTTGGTTGTCTCATCTTTCCAGCTTCTCTTAATAGTTTCTCTCCCCTTTGCTGTCAGGTGGTTTCAAACCCTGCTCTGTAGCAGTGCTGTTAACCGAGTTGAATCCTGTTCCCTTCAGGGTGCCAGACTGTACTGTGCCTGGATGAGCTACTGAGGGCTGAGCAAGGCAAGCCATAACGAGGGTCCTCAAACTATCACTGCAGCCTTGTCCCCCAAATTGCTCAGGAATCCTTCCTCATTTTGCCTCTTTGCCTGCAGCTGCCTTTCAACCCCCCCAGGACAAACACCAGATCACCCATTGGAAGAAGCTAATATTATTATTTTATCTTTTATATGTCCCATTGTGAATTGTGCCTTCATTTTTATTTTTTCCCTCAGCTCTATGAACTGGATAGTGATCCTGAACGGAAAGAGTTCCTGGATGACCTCTTCATCTTTATGCAGAAGAGGGGTGAGTGAGCATTTATTTGAACTTGATAAGGTAAAATGGGGCAGAGAGGTGCTGCTGCAGTTTGAATTCTTCCCTCCTGAGTTTGAAAGAACAAATCCAGCCCTTGAACCTGCAGATCTGGTGGAAGAGCAGCAGTAAGACTTGAGATATTTACCTTGGGAGATAAGGAACTCGGTAGGAAAGAACTCTGACTTAATTAGCCCTGTAACTTAATTTCACAGACGCTATTTTTCTGCCCTCACTCCTACCTAATACTCAAGTTGTCCATACACTGAAGAGCCTAAGAAGCCCAGTTCCCCAAGGATTTTTGAAACAAGGCTGAGTACCACTGCAGATTTTCTGGTGTCCCCTTCAGGTGGCATGATCACACATCTTCTCGTGTTTGATTTCAATGGCATGTGGAAGCTGACTGTGAATGCCTTTGCAGTCTGCGTAGAGTAGTGGCATGCAATCTGGGAACTGGGAAAACAGACACCAAGCCACGTTTTCCTGTAGATTCACAATGTGTCAGCTTTCCGTTAGTAATTTTGTGTAACTGAGTGCAGAAGCGCACAGTTTAGAAATGTTCTCACATTCCTGCCTGTGGTGTCAGCAACTTGCATCTCTCCTTGCTACAGGAGTGGTGATGCATGTGTGAAGTGGCTCAGCTGGATGTCACAAAAGTCTTTCTGTCCCCTAGTTGTCAAAGTTCAGTTTCCTCATTGCAAACTACTCATAACAAAAATGTATGTATATGTAGTATTGTATAAAACATATGTCTCTGAACACTTGTAAATCCTTTGTGGTGCTGTTTTCCTTTACCTCCCCAAGCATGCCAGGCCAGACAGACTCTTCCAGCAAAGATGCTTCTGACAAAGTGTTTAATTGTGCTATAGAGCTTTTCATTGTTTCCAAAAAGTCTGCTGAAGGTAGGTGTGAAGAACAGACATAAAAAGGACCCTTTGCTCCCTCATGTCTTAATGTTCTCTGAAAGTGTGCTGGACCAAACGAGCCAGGTTGTGCTTATTTGGAAGGGGGGCTGCCTTAGCATCACCAGCAGTATTGTGCCCTGTAATAAAGTATAAATATGCAACACCTCAGTCTCATCTATTTGAAAAATATCTGATTGCTGGGTTGGAGCTGGAGTCTATTTCTGGTTGTCTTTTGAACCCTGCATCTTCAGATGTACTTCCCTCTGTGGATGACTAGATGAGAAGCAGAGGAAAGGCTATACGAAATGCAGCTACTGCAATTGCTCTTCATATCCATGTCTGTCTTTCCTGGTGTGGCTAGAGCTGACAGCTGATTTGTGTGAATTTTCACTCTCTAGCAGTTTGAGGCTATGCTTCCAAGTTGGTTAAAAATTAGAGCCAGGTTTTGCTGATATTTTTGGCTTTCATGTGCAGAGGCATAACAGGACGTAATTAGTTTACTTGAAAATGTTAACCTGAGCTCACATGTTAATGTAAGGGCTGAGATGACTGATAGACAAGACAATAATCTGAAGGGTATGATTGGCAGCAATAGAAACCTCCAGATACCTAGAGAGAAATCTGCTTAATACTTCAGTGTCTCCTTCCTGTTACCTTTTAATTATTTATAATTGACATGTTCCCAGTGCAGGGGCTGAGCTGGTCACCAGCTGGTTGCTGTAGGAGTTTAGCTTTTAATCATCTGGACATTTCCAAGTGTATTTGTTTTCTGGAGACTCCCTTGTTTTCTTGCTTGCTAGAAGGCTAAAAATGAAATCCAAGAGCCCAGCACCCATGGGGGAGAGATGCTGTGAACTGACAGCCCTCTGCCAGAGGGGCTGGAAGTGTTTGGCCCTGCTCTGGGGAACTGGCTGGATTGCAGGGTACAAGGCAGTTGTGGGCTTGCTTTATATTTTGGCACCCCCAAAAGAAATAGGCAGAAGGACTCTGGGGAGCCAAGTTTCTTCAGGTTGATAGGAGAACTGAACAGCATATGTTGAGGTATAGGAGGCAGCTTCTCTTCTGTTGTTAATCTGAGCTGTTGTGTCTTACTGCAAAGGAAGTCTTTTGACTTGGCATGGTTTTTCAGAAGCTGTACTGTCCATTCTTCCCATGCCTGCTCTCCCCACTGCTATCTACAGCAGGGCTTTGGTTTTCTAGTGAGCAGATGGACTTGCCCGCTGTGTCCTATTCTGGGATTGTCAAAAATCTGGGAGCTTCTACAGCAAAGTTATCATAGGATACTCTTCAGGCTTTCACTTCTCCTCCCCTTGCTTTATGTACCAAATGAGCATCCTAAACCAAACAAGGCTGAACAGCGGCCTTGTTCTGAAAGAGTCCCCCAAAAGATGGATACAACTGAGGGCTCATTGCACCTGAGAGCAAAGTGCTGTGTTTCTTAGCTAGTATGTGTGAAGAGCTGGTTAATTTGCACCTTGTGGCTGAAGGGAATGGAAAGCAGCTCTGCTATAATAAATGTTGCTGGTATAAAGATTTGGATTTTGCTGTTGTCCAGGAGGAGCCAGAGAAGTGCTGGCCCTTGTTTGGGGCTGATAGATTTGGGGCACAGATTGCTAACTGATGCTGAACTAAAAGCCTGATGTGAAAGATAAATGACAGATTTCACAGGAGCTACTGAGTAGTTGAAGGGATGAAAAGATTTGGTTGTTGGTGCTGCTGTTAGGAATGTACCTAGAAATGTGAAGCCATGAAACAGGCTTAATGCAGATCAAATGTGCAGGTCTCATCTGCCTCTGAGCACAGCAGGTTGTCGCTGAATGACCACAGCTGCAAGTGATAAAATGGCCCTTCAGTGGCAATAATGATGGAAGAGGGAGATGAGAGGAAAGCTGTAACTCTTCCTTTGTTGGATGTTTTATTCCTTGTATGTGTTTAGGTGAATGGGTCCCACCATGGCTGTGATTGAAGGGGCAGATGGACAGAGGAGGGGAGACCAGCTGATGAGGGCAATTTGTGCAGGACTAGCTTCGAACCAGGCCTACAACAGGACTGACCTGATGCAGCTTGGCAGGGATGATGCTAACTTGCTGTATAACCACTTCTACCTTCCCCTTTCTCAGCTCTTCTGCAGTCTCAAACCAAAGATTGTCTTTCCTTGGACTGAGCAGGGATAAGCAGCTTCAACAGTGATTTTCTTCCATCTCCATTGCTGATCTGATGTCTTGAGGTCTGGCTTCTCAGAAGCTGTATTTTTAACCTCCTGCTGCATAAGGAGCCCCTCTATGGGCAAGTTTGTGGTTCAGGGCATTTCTTAAGGGCACAGGCTGAGGCTTCTCTGCTAGTGAGCTGTGGAGCGGGCTGCATTGGAGGCAAGGAAGCTGGATTTGTCCTGCCTGCCACTGAGGGCACTGCAGGCGGGAGCAGTTTGCTAAGTGCCCAGGCTAGAGCTGCATCCATTACAAGAACTCAGGGTAATCTTGTGTTCCCCCATCTTTTGTATGACTGAAAAGAATTTTATTACAGAAATTTGTGTAGCCAGATGGGCAAGTTCATTTACTCAGATTGGACTCGGTGTTAGAGATGATATCTTCCACTTCTTTTCAGGTCCTTCTCACCCTGAGAACATACCCTGAAGCTAAATTTTGTCTCCATGTTTTTGGTGTGTGAGAGAAGGCATAGGTATGATGAGTAGTAGAAAAATGTAGCTGTTAGCCCTGTAGCATGTGCTAGGTAGCATAGCTAGACTGCTTTTTGTCCCCAGATAGTGAAGGACTGACTGTTGGTGGCATGACTCTTACAGCCACTAAGGCAGCCACCAATAATTGAGCTGATTGTATTCCAGTAGTGCTGGTCAGGAGAGAGCTGGAGTAGTGGGACTGTTTCATCCCCGGGAAGGATCAGCAGCGTTCGTGCAAGACAATTCCTCTTGAGAAAAGGTTTGAGGGGGAAGAGATCTAACTGTGTGCTATGGTGTATTAGGAAAGGCTCCCTTTCAAGGGAAGCCGTTTTGTTCATTTTAAGTACTGCCTTTGTGAAGACCTCATAAAACGTCTCCAATTGTACAGCTCTACTAATTTTGTTCAAGGTTTCTGTGTGACCTTGGTTTTCCCAGATGGCTTGACCATTCTGTTTTTTATGTGTATATACATAGAAGGGGCTTTGTAAGTCTGACTGTGTGGTTTTAATGTTTTCCTGCTGTTGTATGCTCTGTCTGCACATTTTAGATGTGGAAATACAACAAATCCAGGGTATTGACAAAAGCATTTACTGATGGATTCATTTATCTATAGGCCAAGTGGTGTTTATGAAATGTTTGTCCAGGGAATATGCTTCATTCTTCTACTGATTCAATTTTGCAGGTTTCTTCTTTTGATCCTCTGGAGATATTTTTGAATCTGAATTAAGCAATGTAGTTCCCTAAATGAGACATCAATAGACGTAAATTCTCAGCATCCTTTGCTCATGCTACCTGCTTAATGCTGAGCCACAGCAAATGCTTCCCTAAATAGCAGCTGATGTGGAAAATTCTCACTCGAGGCACTGCAGAGATCTCTTCTGGATGGTCCAAAGCAACCAGGCAAAGTCCTCTTCCCCATTAGACCCTTGGATTTGTACACAGCTAGATCTCCACCTTTTGTACCTCCTTTAAAGAACCTCTTTGGTCAACTGTTCTGACTTAGACTCAGGAAAAATGGTGACTAATGTTTTCTGCAAATAGTAAGCAGTGGGGATCAGTGAAATATTGTAGGTTTTTACTTTTATATGGTTAGAAAGAATGGAAAGATTGACTTTTCCTTAAGTTGTAGGGGGAACTGGCATTCTGGTTTACATTCCTCTGTATTTAAGTGGTTTGAGCCTTTCACAGCAGGGAACAAAATTCACTACTCCATGTACTTAAACACTTAAGTGATGCTAGGATAAAAACAGGTGCAAAGTGCTTGGGACTGCTGAACAACTTGAATCCAGCTCCTCTGGAGATGCATAGCCTGTATCTGAGGTAGGGTTCTCTGTGGCATCCAGAAAACTCTTGTGGGGAATGTCTTCTCATCAGCCTTAGGTGCCAGGTGACTAAAAGTCTCCACTAGATAC